CCATTCGCTACTTTTTTACAGGTCTTACAATATAGGTGTGAATGATGATCGCATTCGTCACAAACCTTACACCCATGCTTCCAGCCTCTAAAGATGTGCCACTTTTCGAAGTGATTTTGTCTTTTTTTATTTGTAAATGCGTTATTGTTATTTGGATTTTTCATTATTATATATCAATATTACAGAAAAAAATAATCTATCTGATATTACTCTAATGTATACCGCACTATACTACGTATACTTATCTGATAAATTATACTATATTGGTATACTATATCCATTGACCATTCATTAAAATCAACCACGATCGCCTCATAAATTTCTAAAATAAGAATTATAATGGGATTACTAAATTATCACAAAATCAAAAATGAATGCTTATCAAAGGCTATTTAGATTTAGAAGGTTTAGGAGAATAGTGGTGGTCTTTTGCTTGTAAAGCCAAATATGCGTAGGCCTTAAGTATGGGTGGTGATGTTGATTGCAACGAGAGAGTTTCTGTAATATAAAGTGAATCCGGTTCATTATATGGTCGATATATAAACCAATGCTGATCATAAGTTGCAAGAACACTATATTGAAGCATATTATCGATCATATAACCATAAATTTGTCGAATTATTGTCTTTACTGTACTGTTCACTGCATAAAATTCTAGAAATGTTTGTTCGTTCATGTCTTCAAAGAGATGCTTTCTTTTTATTTCCATTATCAAAATTAATGTTTCTTCCATATAGTAGCAAGTAAAGTCTGAGCCAGGAATATAGGCTAGACGGTCTGAAAAATCATAATTTTTTCCCATTATTTCATTTAATATCATATTAATATTGACATCTGTGGCCGTCAAAACGGTGCTTTCCTTGTTTAATAAATGACTATAATGAAATTCTGGTTTTTTGAATTTTGGGTTCACATCAAATTTATATCCATTTACTTTTTCAAAAAACTCTTTCCAAAGTAGTACTTTCCTCGGTGCTTTACCGACTGCTGAAGTAGTAGTTTTTGAAGTTGAAGCAAACGAAGAAAATTCAATGATTGGCGGAATAAACGAGAGTGCTTTTTCCTGACTAATAACTGGATGATGATAAACTATGTGTAAATATTACAAGCAAAAAATATATATACACCTTATCTTAAGTAATAGATAAGAAACTTCCTTACCCTCTGGTATTTGATTTTCGATATTCTCTTGGGGGTCATATTTCAATTCTATATCAGCGACAGTAGCCATGCTACTGATCTTTTTCCTCTTTTTTGAAGAATTGGATGTGTTGGCAGATCTATGCGTATTCTTTTTTTTTCTCGATAATACAACTGATTTACTATTTGTTATGTCACTTAATGCGCTTCGTGTTTTCGTAATATCAAACTTTAAAAGGAAAAGATTGAGTGAGAAAATTATTTCTCAGAGAGTAGAACAGATGAAAAACGAAATCAATGGTGGTTTAGCTTCTTTATTATATATAAAAGATACACAACTGACACCTCCTCCAGATCAGTAAACTTTTATCAAAGAAGTACCAACTTGGCTACTTGCGAAGATACAGATCCCATCCTCGTCAAGTCACAGTTAACAAGAACCGTAAGAAGCTAGCAAAAAAAGTTAACATCTTACAAGGATCTGACCTACCCTCATCAAGTCGCAGTTAACGAGCGGTACAAGAAGAGACTGGTAAAAAGCCACCATTTTGATCACATATTTATATAAAACAACTAACCTTTTTTTGTTCTAAAAGTTCCCTTGCGCGTTTACGAACTTGTTGTGAAACCTCCACATCATTAATGACTTCGTCCAAATATTTATAAAATTTCCGGTGTGCTTCCATCTTATCAACATAAATATCATTACAAATAGCATATGTCACGAAATTTTGTAAGGACCAGAATTCATATGGGAATAGGATAAAATATCTTTTATAGACGTTTATCTCTAGAATATTGTGAAATATTGTAAAAATAAATTCATAAAAACAGAACCTTCCACATGTCACACCATACAATGAAAACGAACGCTTTGTTGAATCCTTAATCTCTGCAATTAATGTCGCTGGTCCTACTTTTAAGCTACAATATTTGAACTTTTTTTCGCTCATGTCGAGAGAGAAGAGACCCACAATTTTTTCACCACGAAGTACATCGAAATGTTTTTCACTAAGTTCAAGGTTTTGTTCTTGTAAGAAGGTGATAAGATCCTCCGTATCCAGACTTTTAACGAAAAGTGGATCATCACTTGCAGAAGCGGACATGGCAAACAATCTATTATCTTGTGAAATAGGTAAGCTTAACACGTATATCTTTAAAATGGTATAACAGATAAGTATGTATTTCAGAGTGATTATTTAGTGTTTAGTGTTAATTTACGCGACAGATTTTCTAAATTCTGATTGGGTTAAGCAATGAAACAAGTCTTACGTAACAATGCTGGGCTACGTACAAACCTGTAATGTGTGACAGTTGTGTTTGTGACCCGTTTACAAACAAATTATGCATAAGCCAGGGTTATAACTTTAGATTTTTCTTTACGTACGTAGTGAAGGTACATAAGTGTCACGTATTAATTTATTACATGAAAAAATATAACAGGTAAGTTAAAACTGATAAATTATTACACGTCGATCTAAATTCAATACATGGCACAGTAATCATGTGATTGTGACCTCCAAGGTCACGTTCACGTGACTTATACTAATGATTCTGTTGGGGTTTTATCTGGAATTTGAGATTAATTTGATCTACGGTTAATTTGATCTACGGTTAATTTAGCAATTGTCAATGCACTAAAAGATTTTACTCGCTCTATCTTACTTGTTCCTATCTTACTAAATAAATGAAAAATCTTTTGGGCTCTTTCTTTTCTTTTTCGAATAGTAGTTTCAGGAGTA